GTTCAAATCCAGATCAAGCCACCTGTTATATTGGTCCTTTGACACTAAGTATCCTGAATGTTTGCTCATGTCTTGATATGATAACAGAGAATCTGTTCCCTGTACTTAAAAAATACCAATACCACCCACGGAACAAAATTATGCTTCATATGAGTACTCTCAGCTGTGCTTTTGAGAGAACACAATATTCCATTACCTCATCAGCCAGAAGAAAAAGTTTCTCTTCACGGGCAAAGTGTATCACATCTTCAAAGCTCTTTCTATTTTGCACCTGTCCTAAGTTTTATTTTTAAAGCAAGAAGAAAGTTAGCATGTCATGGCTTCCAATGATTATGCCTGATTAACTGCAAAATTTAGGAAAAACATTCTGAGCACAACACTACAGGGAAAGTTGGAAACGGGAATATCAAGATCATGATTTTTCTGCTGTGCTCAGTTATAAGCAAAGAAGTCCCAGCTAGTTCTTGCTTGTTGCTTTCCATTCACTTTATCTCACTAACCACAAGAGACCAATGAATAAAACCAGAAATTAGAACTGGGGCCTGTGCAGATTCTTCTTTGGAACAGTGACCTGTTTTAGATTAGGAGCAATTGTGGCCAGCTGGGAACAAAACTGCAGTCCCATTATGTTTCCATTTTCAGTAACAGAAGAGACCAAAAGTCTTGGAATGGAAATATAATCATATCATGTAGTTTATGCCCAGAAGATACAGGCAGAAATGTAATGTTTGTGCTAAGGTTAGTCCAGAGGATTTACCTGTGTGAGTCTATGTATAGGGTTTTTTACATGTGAAATAAAAGAGTGTATTTGGTACAGGTAGTAGAGAGATTTCTTGCTTTTATAACCAAGGGAGAACTCTGATGTACAGGTGCAACCGAAGCAAGCGTCCTTATCAGCATTTAATTGACAGTGTAAACCCAAAAACATCTCTTCAAATACAGCAGCATATCCTTTAGTTTCCCAGTGGTTCTAGTACGAATTCTGCTGTTCTGTGCTTCTCATCACATACTGACTCAGCTGCTAAGTTAATGATTTATAATCAACATAATTTTGTACCCACTATGAGTTTAAAAATATCGAGCATTCAAAAAAATATAATCAGGATCATATTTTAAAACTCCTTAACACCCTCTGTCCCCCGAGTTATGAAGCTGCTTTATCTTTGGAAGGGCCAAATAATGAGACTCGTAGGGCTGCTGATTTTTCATCACTGGTGAAATCAAACCAGCATGGTACAGATCCTATGTGCTATGTTGCCATTCCTGACAAGCTGCCAGTATCACAAACTCTGGAAAGCCAAGTCACTACCAACATCTGGAGAGCTGTTCCCATCAGAATATTGTCATTCTGAGCTCTGCCACTAGATGTCATTGAAAAAAACACTTTTACCAACAAGCTATGAAAGGCTGCCTTAATAAAAGCAGTCTGAAACCCACACTCTGAAACCCAAAAAATCCTACACCGCTTCTCTCCTTCCCCCACAGCATCTCCCACAACCACTTTTCAGTCACTTGTAGCAGAAATGTCTAGGATCACCCCAAGTTCATGTGCAGTTTACAGAGCACAACTAGTAACTTTAAATAAAATGAGATGTTAAATACCCATGCGCATCACTGCTGACTATGAGCAAGAGATAAAGAGTAAAAATAAGCCCAGGCCAAGGTGATTCAAACTATGAAGCCTAAAACTGATGGACAAGGAAGTGAAAAGTGCACATCTATTTTTGAACACTGTCATAAAGCCACAGAATCTTCTTTGCTTGCTGGGTGGTGTGAAATAATTGTGCCTGGCTTAAGTTTCCTCACTCAGTTATATGCTAGTACTCTTCCTGATAATATTTCTACAAAAACATGATTTATAAAGACAGAGAAGCTTTGCAAGTACTGCACAATTGTATTGGGCAAAATAGTAATTCAGGGCACAAAGTTCCCTGGTGTCCTAAACATTTACTTTTAGAGGACTAAAAGTTCTATTGGGTTTGTACGTGGGTCTTTGACCACAGCCAGGAAGCTGCTGGTAAAGTAGGAGAGCAAAGCTAAGCTGTCATTCTGCCTTGTGCTCATGGAGTGCCTTGTCCTGTGACTGAGGATAAACAGAACACTTAATTATCCTAGACTTCTACACTTAATTGTGCTCAATTGATAGTTTTGACTAGAACTTGTGAGTTTGCACTGTGGGATGCAAATAAAATAAACCCAACCCAAAAAGCTGCATATGCATATATTAGGTATTTTTGTATAGGAGAGTGGTAAATTTCTCAAATGCCTGGAAAGATACGCCAGTTATCCCATATGCAAAGTGATGTCAGTAGAATCCCAGAGTGTTTGGACACAACAGAAGCTGAGGACTCAATACCAAGTGTAGGGTTTTGCCAAATTAACCTTCACTGGAAGTGAGGTTATTCTAGTTCATATCCAGAGATCAAGACATTTATATTAAATAAAATTAAACATTATGCATTATTTATATAGGCTGGTATAGATGTGGGTGCAACACTTCAAATGACCATATTTAGTGAAGCCACTTTTGTGTTGGATTGACAAATTTCCTAAAATCAAAGTTTTGCTGGAACACAGCACATCTCTTAAAGCTACACAGAGGGATGAGGTTTGGACCTTTGATTTTTCCCAAGAAAGCCAATCTCTCCTTCTCAGCCAAGAAGACAACAGCAGTGAGCTGTCAGACTACCAACACAGTCACTTCCATTCAGCTGCAGGTCCACTCGCCTCAGACTGCGTGTTTATGGAGTGCTGTGCAGAGGTTGATGAGCTCAGGGACCAGGAGAAGGGACTGATACACAATACTGGAGACAAGGAGGGACAAGAGGGGGCAGAAAACAATATAGCAGATCAGTAGGGTATACAGTGATTTTAGCTTTATAGGAATTTAGAGGTACAGTTGCTCTTGGCACATATCAATTAAAAAAAAGACAAACCACATTTAGACTCCAGTCACAGAACTTCAACTTATCCACTGAAACTAACAGGGTGTGTTCAGAATTATCATCTTATTTGAATACTGCAACTGTTTCAGGTCTACTTGCTCAGAATCTACTGAGCTAACACAAATTGCTGGCAATACGTGATCTGCTGAAAAGGAAACTAATTTCTGAAGTATTATGCAAGGATGAATTTCTTCCATTTTACTCCAGCACAGGGCTGTGGGATCCTACCCTTAAGTAGAAGGGCACAAGACTTAGCATTCTGAGAATTCACACCACATCCCTGAATTTGAGAATCATTACAAAGAAAGATTGAGCCAAAATTCAAATGTATCCCCAGTAACTCTTACGTGCCAAATGCACTGTGTGGATTTATTGTGCCAAACTATGACAGGAAAGGAATTGACCTAGAGGAACTTCTCAGTTTTGATAAATGTATTTTTAATGTTCTACATTAAAAGACAAAACTGATACAAAGAAGGTGAAGATAAACTGCATTCTGTATTAGGCTGTGTTGTTCAGAACAGTCCAAGGCTGAAATACTGCTAAGGTAACCAATGTTTAGGTCTTGTTTATTTTAAGAAGCTTCACAGCACCTAATCTCAAAATGTGCCTGTGCAAATAGGCACCACAGTCACAAAAATTAAGAAATATGCCAATTACCATAATACGTGTTCTGAAATGTCACTGTTGGCCTACCTGAACTAAGGTAATTAAGTGTGCCAGACTCTTCACTGTACCCAGTAGGTGTAACAGTATCTGCAGAGTAGAAACTCTAGTGGCATTTGCCAGATATAACTAGGCAGTACAGCTGCTAAATGAGAAAGAATTGCTAGTCACAGCAGTGAGCTTCCTAGAGCCTCCCATACTTACAGATTTATCAGAAGAGGCAGATTCAGGTTCCCTCCTCTTGGAGCTCTGCCCCAAAATGGAAGCTTCTTGCAACTGGAAGCAACTGGAACTTCAGGTCCTCAGGAAAGTAACTCCCTCCCCTGAGTGCTGGATCACCTGCCTGAGCACCTACAGTGCTTATATCCCATGTCACTCCCTGCACTGTACGTTCACACCAATAAATGAAACCTCCAATCTCTCCCTCGAGCTGCATCTTCCCAAGCCTGAATGAGTTCAAGAAGCTTCAGATGGTAGTCTCAGGCGTATGATGTGACTCTTGCAGATGGTCCTGTGCAGGGCTAATGGTAGAACTCGATGATCCTTGTGGGTCCCTTCCAACCCAGCATATTCTGTGAGATTCCGTGTGATTCCCCGTGCCCCCACACTGCCCCACCTGCTCAGGTGCTGCTCCCCACCCCTGCACTGCCCCTGGGCACAGGGCTCGTCCCTTGGCACCTTGCTTGAGCAAAGCTCCATCTCCAGGTACATCCAGGTGCTCCGCCAGCCCCTAAGAGATGCTCTCACCTTCGTTCCTGGAGAGATGCCCTGGGACCACCCCCCTCAGCCGCTCCTGGTGGAGGGGGCACCCGGGTGACCGCCGAGAGCTGTCCCCCAGCTGAGCCCGCCCCTCCTCACCCTCACGGGCCACACGCGAAGGGGAAAAGGGACAGAGCCATCCACCGGGAAAGGCACCCCTTGCCTAATCCCCGCCCCGCTCCTCCCCTGGCTCTCCGCCCATTGCCCCCCCTCCCGGGCTCCAGGGCCAGCCTGTCCTCCCTGCGAGCTGCCGCCTCTCCGAGCATTTCCCAGCCAACTCCGTGATCTTCACTGGCAACGTGTCGTCCTGAAGACAGAGGGTAACTTCCCTGCAGGAGCAGGTGTGCACCTGCTCTGTGTCACAGAAGGTGACAGGGACACCATCACTCACCTGTGATTCTACTCAAAGATTCTTCACGCATTTTTTGCTTTTTGCACTCCATGCCAAACATCACATTTAAGTATCTGATTGTAAATGTTGCCGCTCCAAGGGAATCATTATGAAATCAATAAATTAAGTTCCTGTTTAAGCCTTTTACAACAGAACTTGCTCCAGCTTTTGGAAAACGTTTATGTGAAAGTTTAAAACATCTAGAGAAGTCTAAAAAAGATACACAACTGCACAACAACTTTAAAGGAAAGAAAAAAGTCAAATGAAGGAATTTAGTATCTACTTCATTCCATTTATACAAATAAACTGTGATTCTTAAATATATAAAACATGAAAACAGGAGTGAACTATTATCGAAAAGACATCTTTGAGAATTCCTCTTGTGACAGAAAGTACTTAAATTATAGTACTTTAAAACAATGCTGTGAACAGCACAGCTCAGTTGTATATTTACAATCTGACAATTATCTTGCCTTTTTTTGTTTTAGAGGTGTAAGAACCTCAGGAAAAAAAACTCCTTCCATTAACGGAAAAATAGTAGACAGAAAGATACTTAAAGTCAACAGCCAAGGATTTTCCAATCACTATATGCTGAGCAGTAGAGAAACACTCAAACATCTACCCCACTTCCCCCTCCCCCCCCAATTTCTCAAAAATAATGTTTCAGTGCTTTGGATTAAATGATAACCAACTGAATTGATTTTGTCGTCTTGGCAACACTAAATCCAACGTCAGATCTCTTTGTTCTTTTTCGGAATCCACCAGCTGATAGCCAAGCATGTTTATAGCACCTTTGCAAACTTCCTGTACTTTCTTAACTTTCTGAAAGGGAAGAACATTTCTCCAGGCCTGTGAAACACTAAGTGCATCTCGAGACGTGATTTTGAAGGCTTCTTTTTTTTTCCCCGGTCCCTGTCCATGTGTGATATTATAGATCCAGCTTTTGAGCCTGGGGGTCAAATTAAGATCCGCAAATTTGTACATTTCTGAGATTTCTGACAATGGATCTCTCACCAGATCTTCAAAACGGATCATTAAATAGCGATTTTTAAGGAAATTAGGTGGTTTTAGAGTAGCCGTTTCATAAATCTGAACATGACTTCTACAAATCTCTTGCATGACTTTGTATTTGCTGTCTTCCACTTTAGTGCCATTGGTACTCAAGACAATTCCATTGTCACGGGCTAATGCTTTCACAGATTGTTCTCGTGACTTAACGACTGCCCTGGGGTCACGGACCAGGTGAATAATTTTGAGATTCAGGGATGGGTCAGTGAGAAGAGGGTAGAGGACCTTCAAGTCAAAGAATCGAACTTCCTTGATGACAACATGGCTGTAAGTTTTACAGGCTTCCTCCACCTTGCTGAACGGATACCGTCCACAAAGAGTCTTGCAGGCCATTTCACTGGTGATGTCAGTGCGTTGAAAAGAGTCACAAGCAGGAGTTGAGCACAGAGCCCGACTCGTTGCCCACTGGAAAAGATCGGATAAGTTTCTTTTCCAAGGCATGTAAGCATCAAACACAGACATGTCACACAGGAAGACCGACCGGACTAAGTCCCGCACTGCCATGTGTAAGACTTTGGCACTGTTCTGAGACATTGTCACCCACACGTGCCACGCAGGCTCCATCAGGTAGAAGACATTGGGGTGTTGGCTGAAAAGCTGCCCGACAAAGGAAGATCCCGACCGCCAGGAGGAGAGAATGAGGATGTGGACTTGTGATGGTTTCTCCTCAGCCTGAGGCATGAAGCTGCTGTACCGGGCGTACATGAAGAGTAAGAATCCAGTCTGAACTGTAACAAAAAGTATAACGACTGTGCTAGGAATCCGAATCCTTGCCATTCTCACCGAGGAAGAGCAATTAGAAAAGCTGAAAAAGAGAAGAGAAATGCTGGTGAACCATTGCTGGTGTGGCAAAATAACGATAAAACACAATAGAAAACTTGAATATTCATAAATACTGCCAAGGGACAAAAAAAAAATCCTTCCAAACGATTCCACTGTATTTCTGTTTCAGTTTGACACTACGAGGACTTCTATTCCCTAAAAGGAGTAGATGGGAACATCAGTAACTGGCTGCTGAAATAAAAAACATTTTTCTAATGTGAGTGCTGTACTCTGCAGTGACAGTAGGGTGCTACACCAGGGGACGCTTGTGCACAACCCTTTATTTTTCAAACTGCAGAAGATGGGTGAAAACTCACAACCTGAAGCCACATCTAGCCACAGATGATAAAATGAAAAAGCAGCTGACAGGTATCTTTGGTCTGGAGCACATATATCCCAAGACTGAATATCCCGAGTTTGCATTTAAGGGAATTACCTATTTGGGAGTTAGAAATGTCTGCATATAACTCCTATAAAATTTTAGGCATATCAACCCCAAGTGGAATTGTTTTACTTTGTAATCAAAGTGCAAACCATATGCATTCCTCACAGCTTTTAATGAGAGGTTTTTGGCACCTACCCCTTTGTGCCCTCAGTTGTGCAGATTCCACTTGTAAGCAATCAGTATAAGTTAGCAGGCAAGGTATTAGGAAGGTACAAGTCCTCGTGTATGCAGATCATCTCCATATTTGCTATCTAGCTGCATTTACACAATTTGTTACTTGTCACTGTGAGAGAGACATATATCAACACACTCGACTCTTGAAACCATGCAGGCTAGCAAATACAGACACACACTCATTTGACATAATAAAATCCATTAAGTTCTTAGTGCTGATGTGCCCACAAGAATTCTTCAAGACAATATAGCTGAATACAGTAAGGAATGAAGATCAAGCACAAGGATAGTCAATGACTTCTGTAAAAGGAATACTGAAGTGACTATTACTCCTCAGCCTAGAAAAGAGTTCCCTAGAACAGGGAAATCACAACTGGCCTGGAGAGAACAACTGCAAAAACACTCTCTCACAACTGCTAAAAATGGGAAAATTGGGGGAATTGAATCAATGATTTCTCATTACAAAACCTCTTTGTATGCTGAACCTAAAAATATGAAACCCCGCCTCAAAATGCTGTGGCAGCAGAAGTATACAAGAGTTCAACAATTACATTGATTAAAAGCAAGTAATGGAAGAAAAGCCTCTCAGGACTCACCAGAGGGTGCTGTTAGGCCAGCTCTTTCAGCACAGAAAGGCAATGTGCCAAAACTGCATTGGTTACTAGGTGAAACACTAGTCTATGACTTGCTCAGCATTGCCTCACCTCTCCTTGTGCCAGTGCCCTCCTCCTCTGCCAATGGCTCAGCGGCATCACCTGTCCATCCCAGGCTCCTCTCAGGAGAGCCAGAGGGGCTCGTTCTGCCTCCTTTCTTCCTTCTTTGCTCCACAGAGGTGCTTCCTCGGCTGCACCTGCCTGACCAGAGCAGGCCTGCTGACCACAGGCATGGGGGAAAGGGCAGCAGAGGGGCCAGATGTCCTTACTGCCACTCCAGATGCCACCTCGGTGACAAAACTCTAGCGAGCACCTCCTCAAAGACTCACGCAATCATTCTGTCCCTAAGTGGTGAGGGAGCTACAGCAGGCAGAAAAACAGACTGTGACAGACAGCAATTTGCAGCATAGAGCACTCCAACACCTCTCAGGCATGAAGTATTGCAGTACTCGGTGGCATCACACTATATGCTCTTGTAAATATTGAATACTGCTAAGCATAAATTATGTTAATAAAAGTTACACTGTTATTCCTTTTCTGTGATAGTAGCAGTAGTACTTTCTTTGTGATAATGGTTATTCAGGGAGAGCTCTGGTAAAGAGTAGAATAATCAGAAGTTGTACTCTCACAAATTCTTAAGGCACAATCATCTCTTTGCAGGCCAATGAAAATGTTCAAACTGTGACCTCAAAAGCATCTGCATATATGGCTTAGTTGACAGTCCTAAGTCAAGCTCTGTCACTGGGCCTGCCTGCTAACAGCTACTAATGGAAACAAGATCCTAGACTAGATGAACCCTGGGACAGTCCCAGAATAACTATTCTTCCATAACGTCCAAAGGAAATTATACAAACTGGCCAACAGAGCAATCATTTTCTTCATGACTTAAACTGTCTCTGATAGACTGCTGAGCTGCAGGGCTGTTGGTATCTGCCACTGCTTGCCAAGAAACTAAATACAACACAGAAAGCTATCCAGTTTTACCAAGCAGGGTAAAAATACAGCCAGTGGTAGCAGGGCTTGTTTTCTAAAGAGTGCACTTTTCAGACCCAGAATGGCAGAAAAGAGAGAAAGAAACTGTGTAATGAATGATTATTTTGCTCTTGCTTTCGGGGACTTTTATTCCTTTGCCGCGTAAGTCACGTAATGTTGAAACTGAGTAATGAGATCTTTGCAGGTCAGCTCTGAAAGAAGTACAGTTTCTAAGTAACTTCCTTTCAGCACAGAATTCAACCTGGAGAGACGTAGAAAATTGTCAACAATAAACTTTATAGCTAAAACAAACAAATAACAAAAAAAAAAAAAAAAAAAAAACTCCTATTTACACTGCTCAATTTTTTTTTTTTTTTTTCTGGGATACTAAAAAGTTGGTAGAAAAACAGAAAGAGAGTGTCTCACATTAGAGCTGTAAAGAAACATGCTCTCTCTCTGAGTTTGGGACAAAAGGCTGGGATGAAAGACTCCCTCAGAACCAACAGGCCTAAGTCTGTTCTGGGAAGACTGAAAACCCTGGCTGGAATAAAGCAAAATATCTGAGTGAAGAATTATAAATAACTGCTCCCCTACAATGACTTCTGAGCAACTGAATATTAACTGTCTTTGTCAGTCTTCCCTGGTCATTTTGAGTCTAAGAAAACATCCAGCACACATTATTTCAAAACAGCTTATGCAGCACTTTTAAAGCCAAAGTCTTTATAGATTACACAGAAATTACTTCAATTTCGTATAATGTTCTCAATTAATTCCCCCAGATTGATCTTTTCCACTGAAAAACAAATACCTAATGCTCTATCATGTGTTCAGCCTTTTGGTAGCCAACAATCATCATCCTGTATGTTTGTCATACACTAAATGCTGACTTTTCAGAGCAATCATACAAGATGAATATATGTAGTTATGTAGTTATGATTCCCCAGATGCAGCAGTACCGACTGTGAAAAGAATAATAATGGTAAATGTCATCATGCATTTTGTAGAAATAATAGGAAAATATTTGTGCATGGTGCGATAAATAGAGCAAAGATCACCTGAAGGTCTACGATCCCTCATGGAGATGTTTACTCACTGCATACTTCACCTATAAGACATCACACCAATGAAATCACCACCAGAATTGCTTCTGTGGGCTTAACATTAGGAACACACTTTGCTGTTTTAAGAAGTGAAATGCAGGAATGTGACAAAGCTGGTCAAAGAAAACGACGCAACAACAGTACTAGTAAATCTTGCTGTAATCACCCTGCTGACGAAACATTCCTTTCCAGTGTTCTTCTGCAGCTAAAAATCACACACCTTCCTAAGGCTGTTATTGCCAACAATATGCAGATTGATCTTTGAATGGGGAAAGAAAAAGTTCATTTGGAGGGTGCCTTCCATAAGTATTGCTACTTCAAAAAGTTAAGTCTTTCTAATAGCTGGCCAATAGTAAATAGTTGAAATTCAAAAGCCTACTTAATTTTTTAATAGAACAGTGAAACTGCAACTAAAATAATTAAAGTACAGTAAATGTACTGTAATAATTCTGAATTATAACAATATATAAGTACTCCAGCTGATACTGTTAATTTAGCTTTTGGAAATGTACTTCTTTTCACAATCTAGGGGCAAATGAGATTGGAACAACTGTTTCTAGGAAATTATCAGGCTTAAATAATTTATGATACAATTAAACGTACCATGGATTTAATTACATTGCAATTAGAGGTGTGGGTTTTTTAAGGGTACTGTTTCCTTTGTGTTTTATTTATAATTTTTGGAGTTAGATAAAGTTGTCCAGCCTGAAGAAAAGGCAGTATCGAGGCATAGCCCTACACCACCTGTTTCTCCATGCAGTGCAGCTGAAGATCACAGTGTTTTCAGCTACTAGAATTACTGGTGCTCAGGAAACGAGGTCTGCTTAGCTGCAATTTTTGTTAGGAATTTTTACTATGGCAAAACTGGGGTGAAAAAGAGACACCTGCAGCGACTGAATGCTATTCACTTACTTGAGACTCTGCCTGCAGCGGTACAATAGTGTCCTCAAACTCAAACCGTCAGAGGACAAATGGGCTGAGGTGTGCCCTGCATATGCCACTGAAGCAACTAAGAAATAAAGACCGGTATATGACCTTCACCTGGAAAGAGAGGCTGGACACAATAGAAAAATGGGAAGGGATTTCCCAGAAAGACGGGAAATGTCCTCTAAAGCACCTTATTTCATTCCCTAACTCTACCACCTCAACCTGAATCAGCCATGTTCTCTAGGGAAGAGGAAAGAAGAAGAACAAAAACCTAACCAAAAAAAGCTCTGGTTTTCGACAGTTTGACCTCTGTCAACAACCGCCTACACCTCCAACAACGGCCGGCTCGAGACGGCGGACAACGACTCCGCCGCACCTGGTGCTACCGCTACTTCACCGCCACGGGCAGGGGCGAGGGCAGACTCCTCGAAAACGTCCCCCGAAACGTAGCTCGAGTGCCAACGGCTCGAATACATCCCCCAAAACCTAGTGCGAGTACGAATGGCTCGAACGCATCCCTGAAGCGTAGTGCGGCTGAACATAAGCACCGTTGAGACCGGAAAAAACGGTCTGACCGGGACGACGAGTCCCCCGCGAGCAGCCGCCACCCCCACCCGCAGCAGCCCGCCCGTACCTTTCCGCCGCCACCGCCGAGGCTCCGAGCAGCCGGCAGAGACAATGAGCCGCTTTCAGACGTGGCCGAGGCGCCGGGGCAGCGGGAGGAGCCCGGGAGGGAGCCGATCCGCCCCGCTCCGAGAGCATCCCCGGGCAGAGGCGCAGCCCGGCAGAGGCGGCTCCGCCCAGCACCAGCGGCTCGAGCGGCACCGGCGCCCGCCCCGCCGCGGCCACGAGCGCGGCACCCGCCGGGGACGGCTCGGGGCAGCGCCGCCAGTGCCTCGGGCCCGCCTGCCGCAGCAGCCCCCTCCTCTTCCTCCCCCTCTTCCTTCTGCCCCCGAGCCCGCCCCAGACCCAGGCGAGCAGAACCGGAGGGTCCTGCCCCTGCAAACGGGCTGCTCGGCCAGTTAACGAGCACCGGGGTCGTTTTTTTTATCCCAGCTCCACCTCTTAAAAGACTCCTGAAACATGGCTCTTACATGGCCACATTGCCACTTCAATTTATGCATAGGACCTTTAACCAGACGCTTACTTTTTCTCCTTACAGAACCACTTACATGAATTTGATTAATCACAGCAACCCACTGTGTCCTTCCTCAGTGAAGAGCATTTAGGTTGTTCTCTGGCATATGTGTACACATAAGATGTGTGTAGTAGCACTGTGGTGGATGGCAGTGGTTTCAGATGGTTGTCTTTTTATTTTGGGTCATTTAGAAAGCTAAAGGAAGAGTCCTTGCAGACAGCCTTCTGAGAAAGGCTCTTCCTTCCTAAACCTCCCTTAATGGTACTTGCATCGGATTCTCAGGAATATTTTTTCCCTGTAGTTCAGTTTATTGCTGCAGCCATAAAATCTTAGCTTTTTTCTACCGCTTGGTTACTTACAGAAGTAGAATGTCTCTTCAAGCTTGAGAAAGGAGTCAGAACTATGAACCAAGAACTATTTTCAGTATAACAGTGTTCCAGGAAGTTACCACAGCAGAGGCACCACAAATAAGTTTGTTTTTTTCCCCCTGCTCTGGTCACACTTGCCCTTAGGGCTCCGTTTACCCTGCATTCACTTACTCACCACAGTCATGAAGCACACCTCTTTCAAAAGAAATGGAGGGATTGTTTCAGGTCATACTAAACACTTACATGCCACTGGCAAACAAATAACTCTTTGATTTCCTCCTTTTAAATTATATAGTTCTCTGCTTAAATTACTGTAGAGGATTTTTTCCAGCTTTCCCTTTCTAAATGAAAAGAGAACACAAGGATATTTTAATTTGTATTTCCTAAACCAGACCTATTCTCCATTTCTTATTTCACATGCATTCACTGAACTCTTGCTCTGAGCAGCATCACTGGTCATAACTTAATGTGAAAGGCTACAACAGGAGAGAATAGTGAGATAGGAATTAATGGAGGTTCCCGATACTGTTGTTTTCTGACACTAGTCTCTTTCCTGTTCCTGTTGCTACCTTAAACATGTTTCTGTTCAGCTAGGAGGAAGACTGTTACCCATTCCATTTTTGCGAGACTACAACATTCAAATCCTTAAAATGAGGTCCTGTGGTCTCTCCAGAGATTTCCACCCCTTGCTTATGCCCACCCTAATGCTTGTGCAGACACATACCAAGTTCATTCAGGGAACTGAGTCATCTGAAAAAGTGATTATATTTGGTAAATATCATCTTCACCAGGTGATTATAATTGTTATCAGTTCTAAGCTGTTTAAGTTCTGAAAGTAGTTATTCACTTGCTTTGGAACTCCAAAGCTTCTCTGGTAGTATTTTTTGTTACTTTTCTTTCAATAAATACCAGGCTTCTCTGTTTTACTATTCACAATTAATGGTCTAGTGCTACAGTAATAATGCCAATAGTAAGTGGTTGTGCAAACCTTGCACACAGCTATCACCCACAACCCAGTTTCTCACATCAACCTTGAATTTATCCATCATCCAATTTAATAACTAAATTGCTGAGCATGTAACTGTGCCACATAACTGTGGCTGTACTGTGACAGGAGTGTCTCTGATCTTAACTCATCCATACATTTTTTCACATTCCTCATAGTTTGTTTCATTTCATGGTGCACATCAATGCATGTACAAATAGCTCTGGACAGAAGTCTAAGTCAGCAGTGAATTAATTCACAAGACAGTAAAAATACAGTTTATGTTGTTATTTTTAGCATATTATTTTCAGTCTTCAAGGTGTAGTAAAATGAAGATAATGTAAAAGCAGACTCATTTCTTCCTACTGGCTTTTAAAGCATGTTCCAGTTGGAAAAAAAAAAAAAAGGCTGTTATTTAACTTTTAATTGTAAAAAAAAATTAAAATTTTCAATTCCAAAGCAGTGTTCCCCAAAAATTATATGAATGAACATATATTTAAAAAGAAAGCACAAACAGAGCATACTTGGAACATACTTACAAAATTCGGATCTTTGAAAGTAAAAAGTGAATAGAGAATAAAAGTGGGTGACTATTTTTGAACTGTGTTTCTTGAAAGTGTTCTCAGGCATCTCCTCAGAACTGGTGCTGTTTGTAGCCTAGTACTGGAGACGTTGGCAGAACTGATGATACTGGAATTGTAGTCAACACGTGATTCTGGAACAAAAACATCTTAATCCTACCAAACACCCAAAGAAAGATAAGGAGGATGCTGACATACTGGATCCAGGCAAATTTAATAATTTCCCAAAATCCTGGCTGATATTTAAAGAAAGTCAAGGAGTGTTAATGAAGAAGCTTCTGATTGCAATAAGTAAACAAAGGAACTCAGAGGCAGACAGGTACAAAATCTGTTAAGATATCAGGTTTTGTGGCAAATGGAAGCCTCTGAACCACAGAAACACCTAGAAGTCTTTTACAATAGTAGGTAACAAAAGCTGCAGAGAATATCTGCCCTAGAAAGCATTTAAACCAATTCTGGATAAAGTACCTATTTTGTGCCTGACTCACCAGAAAGTTGTTATTGGTAATAGGCAGGCAGGTAAACAAACCTCATAGGAATTATACTCCATATAGACTCTTTTAAACACAGGCTTACTCTTGTCTGAGAAAATGAGCAACAACATAATGAACAAAGCAAGATTCACTAAGAATATTCACTGAAAATGGCTAAGAAACTGCCTTTAAGGTCTGTTTAGTAAAGCTGAAAAGCAACACGAGTTCCCAGTAGAGAAAGGCAGAAGGTGGTTAGGGAAGTAGAACCATCTGGAGGAATGGACAAATAGGTATTTCATTAACTCCAGAACTTCAACATTACCTTAGCTAATGAAGAAAAAGTTTAGCAACAAATCTAGGAGAAAACAGTTTTCACTTGGCCTGTAAGTGAAGGCCCAAATAATGCAACCCAATTATGTCACAGTTTATGCAGTTTTCAAAGGATATAAAATAACTTCCACTGGGTAACGAATAGTGGCATTAATGATAAATGGTGTATCTGCTGCTCTTCCTGTCATCCAAAGAGGGCTGGGATCTGAAAAGACTGTTGTCACTAAAATGGGGAAAGGAAATATCCAGGTTAAGGGGCTTTTAGGTCTTAATACAGAACCCAAATACCTCACAAAACATCTGCCAATATGTGCACTACTACTGACCTGTAGTTCACAGCTACACATTCAGGCTTACCATTTCTATCCCAATATGCTGCAATGATGTTTGTTAGATCATAGTCACTTGCAAAAGGACTTGTGCCATTGACCACAGACACCTGTTACAACAAGGAGACACTAGCATTATTTGTCCAGTCTTCCAGACAGTAATTCTGCCGACTTTCTTACACAAAGTAACCATGCCCCTGAGGGAATGCACATAAATATCAGGCTGAACATCTTGGCAGAATAAGCTCTTCCCTCTTTTAGCCTAACAATAAAACACCAGCTCCAAAGCTTCACAGTTCACTCTGTGCAGGACTACAAACAATCAGGGCGTCACCTATGATACCAGGAGGATAGAAGGGGAGGGAAAAAACATGTGCTCACATTGTATCTGGTATCCAGTCCACAATGGTTCAATAATTGCCTCTGCTTCAATTTCAGGTCTCCGTTCATATAGAGCCGAGACCCTGGCACAGGAGAAAAAAACTGAAGAAAAGCCATGCTCTGCATCACAAATGTTGACATTCTCTGAAATGGTGAACACAAAAAAAGAGAATTTAGGTGGGGGGACACCCCTCACACACACTTTTTTACCTCTTTGTATCTATTCGGTATTTTTCTGACTCCCAAGTTTCAGATCATTACATTAGTCTAAACAAGGGAACGCCAAATAATTTTTTTTTTTTTTATAAAGTGATCTAACTTAGTTAATACCTACAAAGTTCCACAGGAAATTCAATCCAACAGTCTGTGGCTAATGACATAATCACAGGTAAACAGCAGTAAGATGACTAAACACATTCCTTACAAAAAGGAAAAAAGTTCCTTAGCTTTTATCAACCACTCAACATGAAGGAAAATTTTCACATTTACAGTGGAATAGAAGTGTCGTGAATATTGTAACTCTCTGTGATACCAATCACTGATCTAATATTTGTCTTCCTGTAACACTTTCTTCCTCCTCCCAGTTACAAGATACAGAAGATCCTGGTACACCATTACTAACATATTAAGAGTTGTTAAGTAAGCAAAATCTATGGAGTTTTAGGCTGTTTCAACAGCCTGCCTCTCCACCTCAGAAAACTAACTAGTTATGTCAAGACACAGCGGTGTGTCCTCTAACAGTAAGAATGCATATCCTTCTCCCTACTTTCAGTTATTTCCTGGTGTCACCCACACTGATACTCACTGTTGTGCATTTCTATCCTCTATGCTGCACTACAGCCCAAGAGAATATAGAGCTTAAAAAAAAAAAAAATTCTAACAAAGCGCATCAAAATATGCAACAGAGCTAGATTAGGAATGACTCGGCAGAGGAGGAAAAAATTAAATATTTGTTAGTAAAATACTTATTTTTAGATAGGAATTTCAAATGTGAAAAGTTTCTTTTCATCGTTTGCATAACCACTATTGGAATATTACACAGGGTCTGTACATCACAACAAACATTATTAAAAATGCTCACATAAAGCTGGTAGGAAAAGAGCAGAATCAGCTGAATGCCAAGTACATGCTCTGTAGGTTGGAGCGGAAGTTCCAATTCAAAATGCAACTGATCCATTTTGCCATCTTGATTTTTGTCTTCTTCTCTAGTCTAAAAGAATATGATTTCTTAAAAATACAGGAATTTCTGTTAGAAAGAAAAACAGAAAAGGTAAAACCCCAGGGGACCTCCACAACTGCAGCATGTACAATCAAAGGAAGCAAATAAGCTGCAGCATTAGGAAAGAAAGAAAAAGTTGCTTGACTTGATAAACCAAGAACTGGAGACAAAGAAGCAGCCTGCAAGACTGTCTGTTATACAACATCTCATATGCTCCTCCCAGGAAGGGAAAGCTCACTAGACCCTTCAAAGTCTTTTCTGCCCTATACCATTCTGACCATCTCCCCCGCATCCTACAAAGCACACCTTAGTGCTGGATCTTCTGTCAGACCCTGTGCAAATATGACTGGTGGTCAGGCTTTTGCCTCCTGCCACTGCAGTGTGACTCTGTACTCCCATTCCTGGCTGTGAGCCGAGGCTTATTACACCTCTGTGCCACAAATGCCCAGCACCTCAGCTATTTGCAAGCATAGCAGGACTCGTAACAGAGGCAAACAGAAAAATAACTGCCACTGTGGAATCCCAGAAGGAATAGTGACTGCAAGGCAAAGGCTGTGTGCTTGAGAAGGCTCATACCTTCTTCCAAAACTAGAGCCTACCTAGCAACCCATGCAAGCTCACATTGTAAGCCATGGGGAGGAGAGCACAACTGATTTGAGGGAAGTAAACTGATGTGTTCGTGCAAACCCCCAGTGGTGCTTAGGGACATGGTTCAGTGGTGAAACTGGTAGTTTGGCCAATGGTTAGACTTGATGATCTTAAGGGTCTTTTCCAACCTAAATAATTCTACGATTCAATAGCACTGAAGAGGGACTTAAACCGGACTCGCTAAAAATCACTTGTCCCAACTGAATTCTGATGTGAGGCACGAGGTTACTCGTGAAGCTGCTGCTCCTTGCAGGCAGCAGTGCCCGCTCATGCCCCGAGCCGGCTGCCCCACTCCGCAGCCCCGCTTCTCGCCGCTGCTGCCGGGCCGCCCCGGGCAGTCCTACCGCCAGGAGCGGGACTCGGAGCCGCTCCTCCTGCAGCCTGTTGAACGCTGGGAACGTGCTCCACGCCAAGAAGCTGCCCGGGCCGGGCCCGGTGGTGGCGACGAGGAGAACCTCGTACCGGAACCGCACAGTGGGCTGCTCTAGGTACGTGCTCTGCTTCAGCCAGAAACCTGAGGGCAGAGACAGCACGAGATTTCAGGGCCGAGCCGGGTCCGGCCGTGCCGCGCGGGGTCGAGTGGCGCTCACCGTGGCTCCGGTAGGCCACCAGCAGCGGCGGCACATAGGTGAGCGCGGTGATGAACAACAGCGCCAGCGCCGCGGCGGAGCAGAGCCCGGCCCGGTAGCGCGTGTAGAGCGCGGGGTGCGAGAACAGCTCCACGCCGACCATGGCGAGCACCCCACTCGCGTCCCGCTCCCGCCGCGGGACTGACGGGGGCCGCGCCAATCAGCGCCCAGGGACCGGGTGTGCCAGCCAATGAGGGCGCAGTGCCGCCCCCGGGGCCGCGGGAGGCGGGACAGCGCCGGCGGCAGGGGCGCTGCCGGGACATTGCCGGGCGCTGCCGGCCCGGCCCAGCCCGTGCCGCGGTCCCGAGGGCCCCCGCAGCGCCGCGGGCGGGGCGCCGGCCGGTAGCTCC